ATAGTGGCACGAGCGTTGCCCTGCAGATAGGCCGCAGGGCGACATTGAAGCGGCGTAAATGGATACAGATTTAACTCTGCGGGTTTTGCCGGCGAGTGGCTCGCTATCCGGTTTGATGGTCGAGCTCGGCTTAAAAATATTTAACTTTTGGCTTTACGGCTGTAATTACGATGAGGAATCCGCGCAAAGGGCAGCCGCTCTGGCAGACCTAGCTGCAGGGTAATGCCAGGGAGGTGTTACATATCCCGCCGCTTCAACCTCGGACCTCAACACAGCTGCTTGCCCTGTCACGGTGCCAGAATTGAAAGAGATGTGTAAAGAGAATGGTATTACGGGCTATAGCAAACTTAATAGGAACGCATTGATAGCTAAACTCTTCAGTGAACTCTGAGCCAGGTAGCACCAGGCTCAGCGAGGTTGCACAGTCGTCGGACAGTGCACCTGCTGGATAGCAGCTTGACTGACGTCATAGCGACGTTAGGAAGCTAGTAAACTATCCTAACTTTCTACACGTGGACATATATTACCTATCTTTTTTTTTGATACGGAACGCAGTGGAGTAGATTTTTTCTGCCACAGTGCGCCCGCGGAGATTCGCATTAAACACTGCCCGGGGTCGTAATCTTGCTAACACTATGGAACCCGACGGCCAGCCCCTAATCCAACTATATCATTTTGATATCTTAATCATTCCTCAACATCAGCGTCCGGGCCACAGCAATCTCAGTTAATCGAGCCATGTCAAAACTCAGCAATCTCATATAATCGAGCTATGGACGATCCCTGGGGTGGGCCCTAACCAGGCTCATGATCACTTCAACTGCTCCATATGCAACAAAATAGTAGAATTTTGAGTTCATCTGTGTGGCGCTAGCAATGGCTTGCTACAGTTGGTTCGGCAACCCGCTGAATACCGGTTCTGGCATCAAATGTAATCAGGCGATTCAGACTTCACTGCGATGGCAGTGTGATCGCGATTATGCTTCCACGATTGCGTGCGACAAGTCGAATGTGAACGAACCTTTTGGTTACTTCTTTACTTCGACGACATTCCGCAAAGAGGCTCGAAAGAAAAGCAAAATTTTATTTTATGACTCTCTGACAGGAAGATTTTTATTCGA